TGTTCAGGCACTGAGGGAGTCAATTGACTTCATGGATCTTTATCTGCCTGATTCCTGCTAATCTCTCCACTCCATGGGTGTTAACAACCCTCTCTCCTTTTCAGTGGTCTTGATGTTCCACTATTCAGTCTATCCCTTCTGCAGTTTTGCTGTCTGTTTGCCATTCTTGGTAATGTCTCTTTTCTATTTCACAGCCTTGTAGATTGTTTTTAGTTCAAGCTAAACACCTTAACTTAGATGTGGTCATAATAACTCAGGTGTGGAAGTGACTGACTGTGAAGCACTGGAGGTGCTGTCAAGATGCTTCAGAAAGCTAGAATGTTGTTTTACAAATCTGAATAATAGACATATGTTTAACTCTAATGACAACAGGATTTATGATACAATATCTTTGACTATTTTTTGCCTAATCACTCCACTGGTGTTACTCTCGCTCTCTTTTTCAGTGGTTTTAGTATTCCACAATTCAAATTATCCTTTCTCCTACAGTTTTGCTCCAATATCTTTGGAATATTTTGCCTATTTTTTGCCTAGTTTGTTGTGGGTTTTTTAAGATTTACATATAATTAGCATATCAGTGTACATTCCAGTAGTACTTTTGCCAGTAGTACATTCCAGTAGTACTTTTCCAGTAGTGCTTTTGCTTTGTTCTTAAACTGAATAATATAGTGCTAACCCCTCCCTCCAGCATATTCATAAAATATCTAGTTTCTCTTTAACTGGTGAAAAATACCTGACAATATGCCACACCATCTGCTCCCCACTTTTCAAAATCCTAGATCCATCCATTTAAGATTTTGGAAAGGGGGGTGCAGGCAGTGAGGTTCATCATCCCATATAACACAATACACATTTTTCTCCCCTTAAAAAGAAACTAGAAGCTTTGCTAATATGTGGGTGGCCCAGAGCTGTACTATGCAGTTTAATATGGAAGCAAAAACAAATAGAACTTAACTGAAATGAATGAATAACAATCTGCATGGCTTTGAGACAGGAACTTCATTACCAGGAGCAGGAAACAGACAGCAGGATTGCAGAAGGAAGGTTAGTGTGATTAGTGGAACATCAAGACTATTAGAAAGGAGAGAAGGTCCTTAACACCTGTGAAACTCTTCAGGGATGAGGAGATGATAATGAGCTATGGAGAGAATGGACTCATTCCCTCAGGGCTGCCTAACGAGAAAAACTGCTGCCACTGCCAGGCAGTTGGTTTTAAGTATTGGGTGGAGCAGGAATCTAAGGGGGGTGCCAGTGCACCAGGGCACTCCCCTGGATCCACCCATGAGGACCCCTCACCCAGAATGAAATGCAGCCTCCTTTGGGGTGGGACATTTCCCATGCCCACTACACAAAAGCTGAGGACAGGACATGATGGATCAGCATGGACTGTAGGGGGGAGGCATCCTCACTCCCTATGGGGTTGAATCATCCTTACCTTATATCAGGGGGGCAGTAGGCTGCATCCATAGCATCCACTGGGCTGTGGGGGAGCAGGGGCAGACAGTGAGAGGAAACACATGGTCAGAGTTGTGGGGGATCTTTGGGGTACCTCCTTCTGAGTCTGTGGGGGGATCTCTGCAGGGAAGGGGGCTCAGAGCAGGGAGACCCACAGCTCCTAAGGAGAGACGGAGAGACTAGGATGCAGGTGACTGGGGGGACAGGTCAGAGCGGGGGTGGTCTGCTTTTGTCCCCTGTAGAAGGGATTAGAGGGTGCAGTGGGGGGAGACCTCAAACCCAGCCCCTCCCCCAGCCCCGGGAGGTGCCAGGGATCAGTGAAATGAAAACAGCTAATCAGAGTGCCCCTGGGTCACCTCAGCAGATAAAGGGGATTAGTTCTTCATTAGGGATTAAGGTGGGGGAGGGAGCCGGGCAGTGCAAGCATGAGGGGCCCTGATGTAGGTGTGCACACAGAAGGGCACACCCAGCACACACATCCATGTGCCTGCATGATATAGGTCAACCCCCTGCTACACACACACACACACACACACACACACAGAGCCCAAACATGAGCGCACACACCAGCACAGGTACACATCCAGCACACACACTTGACCTACTCCCTACACACTCACATACACAAAGAGCCCCCTGTGTAGACCCCCCCAAATCACACACACACCACCCCTGAACACACATCAACATGCACATGGCCACATATACACCCCTTGCACACATCCCCAACATAGGCACATACCCAGTGCACATGTGTGTACCGCCCCCAGTATGTGCACACACAAATCAGCATATGCACACCAACAGAAACACTTCCACCCTCTTCACACAGAACCTTAACACACACCTGCCCATGTATACACACCCCCCAACATGCAAACCTGTTCCTTATATATACACATAGCAAATATGCCCCAGATATGTGCACACACAAATCAGCACACACACACAAACTCCCCTCACATGCCAGCACACAGAACCTCAATACACAGAGTTCTAACTAGACAACTGCACATAAAAGACCCCAAAGTATGTGTGTCTGTATATCCACACATATGTATGTGTGTGCATATATCTATATACATATGGATATGTGTGTGACTGTGTATGTATACCATACATATGCACATGTGTGTGTGCGTGCATGTGTGTGTGTGTGTACATATATATATATATATACACACACATACATACATACACACACATTTGTGTATGTATGTATGTGCATATGCATATGTATGCATGTATGTGCATATGCATATGTATGTATGTATGGGTGTGTACATACTTAAGTATGTATGTGTGTTTGTGTGTATATGCATAGGTATGTTTACATGTGTGCATACATATGCATGTGTATACCTCTGTGTGTGTGTGTGTGTATACACACACATATGTGTGTCTGTGTGTGTATACATACACACACACACTCATAATACTATATGTGTAGGTATATGTGAAAATACATGCGCACACACACACAACCTGCCCCAACACAACTCACTGTGCACATGGCCCATTCCAGGATGCCCGTCTCCAACACATACCCCACACCAATGTGAGTCCACCTCACACCCTGAACACAGTTCCACTTCATCTCACCCCTCACATATATCCTCCCAAGCCCCGCCACCCCAACAGTCCCTCCCCATGCCCTAGCTCACCCTGCCACAGCCAGCAGGTTTTACCTCTGAGACGTGTTCTGCCAGCAGCTGGCTCTGCAGGGTGAAAAGACTCACTGAGTATTACAGTTTTCTCTGCCCCACCACCCGCTGTGCTGCCTTTCCAGCTGGCAAAAAGGGAAACCTGAGGCACAGGGGGACCTAGCTATAACTTTCTTTCACATACACAGAACCCAGGCATCCCAGCCCCACCCCCAGCTCAGTCCCCCCAGATCCTATTTCCTTCTCAGAGCTGAGCTAGAACCCAGGCATCCTGGCTCCCCGCCCCATCATCTCTCATGCCATTGGCCCCCAACTGCCCTCCCAGAGCTGGGATAGAACCCAGGCATCCTGGCTTCCAGCCCCTGGGGCTCTAGCTCCCCTTCATATAGATTTTTGACATCACTTGCAAGGGGCAGCAGGACCCCTCTTTCCATAGAGCCAGCGGGGCAGGGATCAGAGGGCTTGACTATCCCACCTGCTGCCATACCTGGGTCAGTTGTGGAGTAGGGGGTGGAGGATCCTGGCCCTGGATCCTGCTCTGTTTTCTCCTCTGGTAGGATTGAGCTCAGGTTGGGGGGTGGGGGGGCTTTGACACTTTCCCCCCACCCCAGGTCACTCCCCACCCAATGGAGGATCTTGTCTGTGCTAATCAGCTTGGGTGGCTTAAGGCCCAGCCCCAGGACAGGACTTAAAGGTGCAGCACGTTGCAGAGTGCCAGGTGCGGTGTGTGTGCGTGTGTGTGCATAATAGTGAGTGCATGCATATTTTCACAAGCATGTGCGCAGAGGGGAGCATGCATGTGCCTGTGTGCTCATAAGGGGCTAGGCCACGTGCTAGGGTGTGTGCACAAGCATGCTTGGAGTCACAAGTGCACCATAGAGTGAATGCACCCATGCAGGCCGGTGCACAAGTGTACATGTGCATCCTCGTGTAAGTATGGGGGAGTTACCCAGGATCCTCCTGCTTCCCTTGGGGATTGTGTGCATGCATGTAATAGTAAGCACATGTATGTGTTTTCACAAGCATGTGCACACGAGGGATCATGTGCATGCCTGTGTGCTTACAAGGGCCTAGGCCACATGCTAAGGTGTGCACACAAGTGTGCTTGGAGGCACTGGTGCACAATGTGGGCACACACAACACACATGCGGGCAGGTGCACAAGAATACATGTGCATCTTTGTGTGAGCATTGGGGGTTATCCAAGACCCTTCCCACTCCCCCTGGGGAGTGTGTGTAATGGTGAGCTCATGAACGTGTGTGTGCATGTGTGCGTGCATGTGTGCACAGGAGAATGTGTGTGTGCTTGTGTGCTCACCAGGGGCTAGGCTACATGCAAGGGTATATGCACAAGCATGCTGTGCATCCTGGTGTGAGCATGAGGGTTACCCAGGACACCCTCCTCTCTGCTCCCCTTGCGGGGGCACTGTCATCACCTCCAGGGGTAATTCAGACTCCCCTCCTCCCTGCCTTCCTAGGGCATCCCCCTCCAAGGCAGTACTGCCTCCTGATTGGATGCTGGTCACCATGGCAGCACTAGGGTAATAAAGGGTGGGGGTCCTCTTCCCTTAAAAGGCTGTACAGGTTCTCCTGGAGGAAAGGGGGCAGGGGTCTTTCCCCTCAGGAGTTGGGTATGGGCAGGAGAGCCTATAATTGCCCCCTCCCAGTCGTATCTTCCCTCACCCCTACCCGCATCTTCCCCGACCCCTTCCCTCTCCCCCTGCCTGGGGAGCTGTGGAGAACGGGGGGCGTGGTCAGCATGCAAATATAGGTTGGAGGGGGAGGATTCGTCGTTCCGGAATCGGAGGGGGCGTGGTCACTACGCAGATTCGGGGTCACTACGGAAAGTATAGCGGGGGGGGGGGGACGCAGGCGCGCAGATAAGGAGGCGGGGCTTCTAAGGGCAGGAAGAGGAAGTGTCGCTTCCGCAGTAGTTGTGACGTTGGGTGGCGTGGTGAGTTGTGGGTTCCCCGGGGATTTTTTCCCCCTCCCGGGGCCTGGGGGTTCCCACCGTCCCCCTCCCCCCCCCGACCCCCTGCCCTAGCCCGCTCTCCAGTTGCCTCTGGCCCCCTTGCAGACCCTTGGGATCCACTGCCCCAGCCTCTGAGTTCCCTCTGCCCACCCCCCCTTGCAGCCCTGGGATCCACTTGGAGACCCCCTGCCCTATCCTCCTCCCCAGTTCCCCCTGGGATCCACTTGGGATCCCCTGGCCTTCTTGCAATCCCTGGGATCCACTGCCCCAACCCCATTCCCAGTTTCCCACTGCCCCTCTCCCCAACCCCTAGAATTCACCTGAGAGCCTCAGCACCTCTCTCTCCCTCCCCCCACCCTTATCTTGCCTTGGGGTCCCT